ACTCGACAGCAAGGGTTTCAGCTTCAAAGGAAAAGGTGGAGTTGTGTATGTCTGCAAGGGTTCGAGGAAGGTACTGAAGGGCGTGAAGCGTGGGACCTTGTATGCATTACAAGGGTCTGTGTTGTCTGGTTCTGCTGCAGTTGCATCGCCTCAGGTTCAACAGGAAGATATGACCACTCTCTGGCACATGAGACTGGGGCATATGAGTGAATGGGGGATGCAAGTTCTATCAAAGAGGGATCTTCTTTGCGGGCACAAGGTGCAGAATTTGGAATTCTGTGAGCATTGTGTGTTTGGGAAGCTACATCGCAGCAAGTTTCCCAAGAAGGGTATCCACCGGACGAAGGGGATACTGGATTACCTCCACTCCGACTGTTGGGGTCCTTCACGAGTTGAATCCATTGGAGGCAGCAGGTATTTTCTGTCTATTATTGATGATTATTTGAGATTTACTTGGATTTTCATGATGAAGCAGAAAAGTGAGGCTTTCACAAAGTTCAAGCAGTGGAAGACATTGGTGGAGAATCAGACTGGTAAGAAGATCAAGAAGCTGCGAACGGACAATGGTATGGAGTTCTGCAGTTCTGAGTTCAACGAATTCTGCAAGGATGAAGGGATTGCCCGTCATCGGACTGTTAGAGATACACCCCAGTAGAATGGCGTTGCAGAAAGGATGAACCAGACATTGTTGGAGAGAGCACGGTGCATGCTCTCTAATGCTGGACTAGAGAGAAGATTCTGGGCAGAAGCAGTAAACATGGCGTGCTTCCTGATCAACCGTGGACCACACACAGGTATCGAGTGTAAGACTCCTTATGAAGTGTGGTATGGTAAGCCTGCTGATTACTCTTCACTGAAAGTTTTTGGGTGCCCTGTTTATTATCACGTGGATGAGGGTAAACTGAACCCAAGGGCAAAGAAGGGTGTGTTTGTGGGTTACGGAGATGGAGTTAAGGGATTTCGAGTCTGGTCACCTTCTGAGCATCGAGTTATACTTAGTAGAGATGTGATATTTGATGAGAAGTCTATGTTTAACCCCATGTTGAAGTTTACTGTTGTTGAAGGTAGCAGGAATGTTGATAAGCAGGTGGAGCTGCAAACTCTCAATAATAGTGAGTTTGAGCACCAAGGTGGAGAAGATCAACATGATGAGGAGATGAGATGGAATCCCATGACAGGAATCAGACTTGGGAGCTAGTCAAACGACCACAGGGAAGGAAGATTGTTACAAACAAGTGGATCTACAAGAAGAAGGATGGAATCACTTCTGAAGAGGGCATGAAATTTAAAGCTCGGGTGGTTGCACGAGGCTTCTCGCAGAGGGAAGGAGTTGACTACAATGAGATTTTCTCACCAGTGGTCAGACATACTTCGATCAGAGTGCTACTAGCAATAGTGGCACATTATGACTTGGAGCTCGAGCAGCTAGACGTGAAGACAGCTTTCCTACATGGAGAGTTGGAAGAAGAAATTTACATGACTCAGCCAGAAGGATTCGAGGTTCCGGGAAAAGAAGACTATGTTTGTAAGTTGAAGAAGTCCTTGTATGGACTTAAGCAATCTCCGAGGCAGTGGTACAAGAGATTTGACAGTTACATGCTTGAGCTGGGCTACAACAGAAGTCCATATGATTGTTGTGTATATCACAGCAAGGCAGAGGATGGTTCGATGATATATCTAGTTCTGTATGTGGATGATATGCTCATAGCTGCGAGGTCAAAGTCTGATATCCAGAAGTTAAAGGGGCTTCTCAGTGCTGAGTTTGAGATGAAGGATTTGGGAGCTGCTCAGAAGATCTTGGGTATGGAGATTTACAGGGACAGGTCAAAGAAGAAACTTTTCTTGTCACAGAAGAGCTACATCCAGAAGATAATGTCGAGGTTTGGCATGTCTTCAGCAAAGCCCTTAAATACTCCTAGTGCTTCAAATGTTCATCTATCCTCAGCTTATGCACAGTAGTCAGAGGCTGAGAAGGAGTACATGTCGAGAGTCCCATATGCTAGTGCAGTAGGTAGCTTGATGTACGCTATGGTATGCACTAGACCTGATCTTGCACATGCTGTTAGTGTTGTCAGGAGGTTTATGATACAACCTGGGAAGGAGCATTGGCAGGCTGTGAAGAGGATCTTCCGGTACCTTAAGGGTACACCTGATGTGGGTATTAGCTTCGGAAGTGATATAGAGTGCTTGGTGTCTGGTTATTCTGACTCGAACTATGCTGGAGATGTTGACACGAGGAGATCGATGACCGGTTATGTATTCACTCTTGGGAGTTCTGTAGTGAGCTGGAAGGCAACTCTGCAGTCGGCGGTGACATTGTCTACTACTGAGGCAGAGTATATGGCGTTGACAGAAGCTGCTAAGGAGGGAATATGGTTGAAGGGACTGGTTGGTGATCTGGGTCTACATCATGATCAGGCAGTGGTGTATTGCGACAGTTTGAGTGCAATATGCTTGGCCAAGGATCAAGTCCACCATGAGAGGACTAAGCACATCGATGTGAGGTATCATTTCTTGAGGACAGAGAAGAGGATTAAGGTGAAGAAGGTTGGCACCGCGGATAATCCTGCTGATATGTTCACGAAGCCGGTTCCACATGGCAAGTTCCAACACTGCTTGGACTTGCTGAATGTCTTAAGTGGGTGACTCCGCCCTACGGGGCATTGATGGCGGGAGAGAGAGAAGGAACAGAGTACATCAGAGATTTCAGAGGAAGAGGATTCAAGTCAAGGTGGAGATTTGTTGATATGACTTGAATCGGACTATCAGCCGCTACGACTGGTAATCGGGGGTCTCGCTGCCTGGTCAGCGAGTGGGGTCCAGGGGAAACGCCCCCGGCCCACGGTGTATGGGCTCAATGTTATTAGTGAACCACGTAAATCGTGTGTCGTGTTTTCGATTCTCGCTTTCGTATTCTTGCTTTGTCGATTCCGGCGATTTCCCGATCCGTAGCAGCGCGTTTATAACAGATGGTGTGACGGTGCGTATTATGGAGGATAGGTGGATACCCGGGGTAGGGAGTGGTGTGGACGTGCCGCTGCCGACGCCAGTAATTCACCCAGGTCAAACTGTGGATGGTTTGATGCATGATGGAGCCGGATACAGGGAGGTGGTGTGATGTCTGTTTAGACACTTGTTTCCCGGCGGACGCGGCTGCTGCTATTCGCAGTATCCCATTACCGTTGTACCAGGTTGCGGATCGCGTGGTATGGAAGTGGGAACATTCGGGGCTATACTTGGTAAAACTGGCTATCATTTAGCCTTGCAATTGAGTCGCTGACGACCTGGATGGAGGGAGGAAGTATTCTTTTTCGATGGGACGCTTTGGAAAAAGGTTTGGGATTTTTCTATTCCCCCAAAGCTTAAGTTTTTCGTATGGCAGGTGATGCGGCGTATTCTGCCTACTGCTGAGGCCATTATTCAGAAGGGAGGACGTTGTCAGTCACGATGCCGGGTTTGTTGGGAACCACTGGAAACAATGGAACATATGTTCCTGTTTTGCAGGGTGGCGAGAGGTTTGTGGGCTAGGGTGGGATCGAATATGAGCGGTAATGAGGAAGTAAGCGTAAATTTTGCGTTGTTCTTTAGGAGGTTTATAGAGCGTGATGCGAGCCCTGAGCGGGTTTTCCGTTTTGTTGCATTGTTGTGGCGAATACGGAAGTCACGGAATTGGGTGATGTTTGATCATTTTCAGTATACCGAGGATGTTTTGCTGCAGCAGTATAATGCCCAGGTAAGTGAGTGGTTGCCGTTGCCCAGGCCTGTAGCAATGTCAGGTCCAACTGTTATTCGTACTGAAGCGCCGTCCAATGGTGGTGGTTCGGGGCTCAAGTGTTTCGTGGACGGAGCTCTTCGGCGGGGATCTCATGCGGCGGGAGGCGCAGTTGTACAAGATGCGGCAGATACGGTTCTTTTTTCTAAAGCTTTTCATTATGCAGGTTTGCGGGATCCTTGGGTGGTAGAATTAGTTGCATTGCGCGATGTCATTCGATGGTGCTCTTTGATGGGGCTATCGGAGATTCTATTCTGCGGTGATGCAAAGGGAGTGCTTGATATGGTGAAGGAGAATGAGATTCATGATGTTCGTGGAGGTGCGATATTGGAAGAAATTAGGCAGCTTCGACAACAATTCAGGGTATTTGATGTGCGGTTCGTTGGCAGGTGAAACAATCGGGTGACCCATCTGGTGACTAAGAAGACCCTTACTTTGTTACCTGCAAGTGTTGATACTTTTGATTTTCGACTTTGATTGATTAATATGGTGTAAACTTTTGTTATCTTTTCGTCTTGATAATACAAATGAGCTATTGGCAAAAAAAAAAAAAAAAACCCAACATAGAGGTTGTTCAACCAACCCAAAATCGTGAATTTTTTTTTTTTTGGTGAATAGGAAGTTTATATTTTCCCTTCATTACACAACACATCTCGTGCTCATCCTAATTGAATGGATAATCAAACTTGTAGTTACCACCTAAGAAGAGCATCACTCAAAACTATATATAATCGAATACTACTATAATAAAATGGATATTCATGATGAAAGAAATTTACCTAAATCTTATACGAAATTAACCAGCATGGATAAACCTCACCCGTCTAACTATCATCCCCATTCCTACATTTTTCAAAGCATAGCATTCGACTAACTATACATAGTTGATTTCCTAAAAAAAAAAAACTATACATAGTTGTTTTTTCACAACATAATAGTATACATTAATTTAACAGTGGGAGTCACCTTCTTTTCTAAACCAGACCATTGCTTGGACTAGAAAGCAACGCCGCCCTCTCCACCTCCCTCAACGTCACTACTCCTCCGCACTTTTTCCTGAGAGTAAACGCTAATCCATTTCGCTTCAGTTCACAATCTCTTACGTATAAGCAACCCATTCGATTTCCAGCCCCCGCTATAAATACCTTCTCAGAGAACACCACAATCCCCTGAAACCCAGAGCAAAAACAGAGTCCAATTCCTGACCCATCAGGAAAAAAAAAAAAAAATGGCGGACACAGGTCTGAGCTCTTCAGGATCGCCGCCGCGGCGGCAGCGATCCACTCACGAAATGGTCTATTCGGGACTAGGGAACATGATCAGGATGCTCCCCACGGGCACCGTGTTCATGTTCCAGTTCCTCAACCCTGTCCTGTCCAACAACGGCAAATGCCAGAGTAGTGTCAACAAGTACATGGTCGGCGCCCTGCTGGCAGTCTGCGGCTTCAGTTGCTGCTTCACTTCCTTCACCGACAGTTATGTCGACGCTGATGGGAAGATCCGCTACGGGATCGCCACGTTTAGAGGGTTCTGGCCAGCGTCGGATTCCGGCGGGACGGATTTTTCGGGTTACAGGGTTGGGGTTGGGGATTTCTTCCACGCGTTCTTGTCGATGGTTGTTTTCGCGACTGTTTCTCTGCTGGATGGGAATACGGTTTCCTGCTTCTACACGGCGTTTGAGTCGCAACAGAAAGTGTTGCTGATGGCTCTGCCGCCGGTGATTGGAATGGTTTCGAGTGCGGTGTTTGCGGTCTTTCCGAACAAGCGGCGTGGTATTGGGTACCCGCCGGGTAGCGATGATGATGATGATAGCAAGACTTCCTGAGAGTGGAAATAAGTGGTGTGTTCGTTTCTTTTGGATGTTTGGTTGCTGTTGCTGAGAAAGTTAGCGTGATTGGATTGGAGAAAGAAAGAAAAAAAGAAAAAAAAAAAAAGAGGGAAGAGGGAAGAGCTTTTATTATTGTGAATGTGTGAGATTGTGGCGATGTAAGTTGAATATGCGATGTTCATGTGTGTTGTATAATTTGATTGTTGATGGTAAACCAAAAGGTTGACTAAATGGCCAAAGATTTTGGTGGGTTCTCTTGCTTGATCATTCCTCTATAAACCCTCAAACAACCAAAACCAACTACCATCAATCAGACTACGATCTTTGTCTTGTGAAGAAGAATTGACAGACAACAGCAGCAGCTAAAATACATCTTTGTCTTGTTCCTGCCGGTCAATCTAAACCATGATGAAATGAATTGATGATGATAGGGTTTGCGTATTAAAACAGCTGGAAGAAATTTTGCTCCATTCATTGTCAAAATGATACCTCCAATACATCCCTTAAAAGTATACCTTTCATACCTCTATAAACAAGGCATCCAGAAGGTTAGCAGATGCAGACGACAAATCTCCCTTCCCACCCTCTTCATCCACCGCAAAGAACAACCCATCATTAGCTGGATTCTCCCTTCTGCACTTCCTCTCTTCAATGATCGCTTCTTCTGTTTCGGCACTGTATCTAACCTGCTTCTCATGTCTCTCTCAGCAACAACAAACTTGTTCCCATCCCGACTCCGCTCAGAAAACCCCGCCCAAACTGAAAACATACGCAGAAAGATCGAGTTGTTACTAAATTTTACAGAGCGAAATTTCCATCAAGAGTAGAAGTTGACGATCATATAAGATTGAGATCGAATGCTATCTAACTTCTAAGCCTACTTTCCATCTCAAGCTCGTGAAATTGACAATGCGAAGCAGTGAGCAAGTACCTCCAAAATTGTGAAGAACAATTGAAGCAGCCACAGTAACATTCAATGAGGCAGTCCCACATCCATACTGTCGAAGGTAAACAAAGAAATCGCAGATCTCACATTCTCTACCAGAAAGTCCTTTCCCCTGCAGATCATATAACCAAGACCCTGTAGTTAAAGCACAAAAATTTGACTATCTTTCATCCCAGGGAACAATTACCGTAGGATTTTGTTCTTCCCTCATTACCAAGGTTATCAACCCGCGGGTTGACATGAACCCGGTGAAGGAGAGAGGATCCGATGACTAGGGGGTGCTTAGTCACTTGACTAAGCCCCTCCCAGCCATTAGATCTGGACACAACAATCTGATGATTAAAAAGTGAGAATGGCTATTTAATTAATGACAGGGGTAGTTTGGGTATTATGGAAAATTACGAAGTATATAAACCGGACTTACAATCAGTACAAACCCTTAAATATACAAATAGATTTACAAATATTACGGACGTATGAACTGTACAAATAATACAAACTAGACCAACAAATAATACAAACCATTCAAAAAAGAAAAAACACCCAGGTTGACTTTGGACGCTTCATCCCTATATAGAGGGCACCTTCTCAAAGTCAACTCGGTTGTTTTGTAGACATACAAACATTACGAACATGGTGGACAAAAATGACAAACTAGACCGACAATCCATACAAACTAGAAAAAACACCGGGGTTGACTTTGGAGGCTCCATCTCTATATAGAGGGCTTCGTCTCAAAGTCAACCCGATTGTTTTTTAGACATACAAACATTACGAACATGGTGGACAAAAATGACAAACTAGACCGGCAATCCATACAAACTGGAAAAAACACCCGGGTTGACTTTGGAGGCTCCATTCCTATATAGAGGAGTTCCATCTAAAAGTCAACCAAGTTGTTTTTTAAACATAAAAAACATTACAAACATGGTTGACAAAAATGATAAACATGGTGCACAAAAATAACAAAGTTTACAAATATTACAAAAGAAACCGACAAACATTACAAAATAACAAACCATACAAACATTAGAAAATAAACCGACAAATAATATAAATCCAGCACTGTCGCCGGAAAAGTCTCATCCGGTTGCCGGAAAAGTCTCCTCCGGTTAGTAGAAATATCTCTCTCTCTCTGCAACGCAATTGAAAAAGGTCATGGGGCTGCCAAAAACCCACTAGGGGTGAAAATCCCCTCACCGCCCAGCGCCAGTGGCGGGACGTACGAAAATCCAGGTATGTATTTTTATAATTACTTAATAATTAAAAATAAAAAATCATGCAATTACCACCTTACCCTTTATTAAATGAGATCAATCTGAACCGTTGGATTTTAATGAGGTGAAATGGGTGAGATTTACTTAGTCATGTGACAAAGGGACCCCCCCTAGTCACTTGATCTTATCCCCCCGGTGAACCTAGTGGGTCAAGAGTTAATAGGCCACCCGTTTCTAGGGGTGTCAGTTCGGGTCGGGTTCGGTTACCTGAATCGAAACCAAAAAACTCGAAAACCCGAAACCGAAAATCACTGAAAACCGAACACGAACCCGATAAGGACTTGCGGATTCCGTTTACCCGAAACCCAAAAATTCCTTGACACGTCCCGTCTCTTTTCAAAAACCAAACCATAACTCAAACCAAAAACCGGTTACTCCGGAGCAACCCAACCACATTTTAAAATAAACAAACTAACATCATTTAAGAATTTTTAACGAAAAGCCCCAACACTTGGGAAAAATTCTCAATCTCAAACTCTTAAAACGACTTAACACAGAATCTCCAGTTTATACTAATAACCATGAAACAGAATAATTAACTAATCTAACTTGACTCCTCACGAGCTTTCCGATATCCCGTCGACGCTGGTACTGCTGCGCGCCTCGCCCTGCTTCTTCTCGTGATCCACTTCTGCTACAACTTTTTCAAGTGTTGTTCAGGAAAAAAGATAGGTGTTTTTGTACCATCAGAAGGTGCAGTGTCAATCTCTATCTGAAGTGCAAAAAAAAATCTGATGGTAAGAATATCGATGAAATATTTTTCCATTTATGAAATATGGATGAATTATCAGTTGATTATAATCTCTCTAGCTATTTCATGTTATTTGAACTTACAAAATCATTACTCTCCTATTTATATTTTAGAAATGGATGCACATAAGTGAGAGTTGAAGAGAATTAATCAACCATTGATCAGATTAGCAAGATGGAAACGTGTTATTTATATAAGGCAGATGTGTATATATGGAAAAATTGTGAACATTCCTACTGGTAATCTATTTGTTTCACGTTTGTTTTTCGATTTATAAGATATCAAATTATGTGTTAGCCGCTACAATTGCTTATTTTGCTAATTCCTATACGGGACTACAAAATGCGATGAATAACTTACAGTCTTAGAGAAATAGATTGTTGAGGTCCATCAAATTTGCCGAAAATTGTCATAATCGTCTTCGAGTAATGCGTTCTGGTGACTTTCCAGGTTTATTGATATTTTGGTTATTTTAATTTCCTTCATTTATTATAATGCTAGAGTCTGCCACCAAATTTATTTCTTATATGGTAGTTTTAGTTTTATTGAAGTTGTTGAAGTGTTTGATATTGGAAAACCATCATATAAATGTGCATATTGTGGAGCGATGATGTGGAAGGGCGAAACTACCAAACCCACAACAAATTCCCATCAACCAACGTTTTCACAGTGTTGTAGACAAGGTAAAGTGAAGCTTCATCCTTGAAGACAACCTCCGGAGGTTTTGAATATGCTATTGCAAGCAAGCACTTCAATGAGACGTCACTTTTTGGAATATATCCGAGGATATAATGGGGTCTTTACTTTGACGTCTATTGGAGGTAAACTGGATCGATTTAACAATGATGGACGTATAGTATATGTTTATTCGATTGGAGGGCAAGTATATCATCGAATCAGTAGCCTGATATCTACTGAAAGGAACAAACCAAAGGATTTTCCAATACATTGAATTGTATAACTTAAAATAGTGCAACTTTCCTTTATTCCATATTCACATGCATGCAGTTGCATACTTGGTTGTATAATCAACGGTATAGGTCTTCACTTTAATACCAAATATTATACACTTATAATTCAATAAAACAACAAATAGTTTTTATTTTTGAATACCAAAAATCGAATATCATTATCCTAATGCAGGAGATCCATAGTGGCATTGATAATGATGGAGGTACTGGATCCGGTGCAAGAAATGAGGATGCTCTTGAGAAGAAGCGAGAGTCACCTCATACTGGACCAAACCATGTCACTAATGGAGAAAAAAGACTTCGCTACCGGTGGAGATGATGATGTTGCTCATGGCAAAGGGAATGCAAACAAGCTAAAAACAAAACATAAAGTGTTTTCTGACGATGAGGAGTAAATAGAATGGTTTGCAAAAGTAAATTAGGAGTCGGTTCCCTCGCATAGGGGTTGTCTTTTATTTTTTCAAAAACAATTTTACTCGATGAGTTGGTTAGGATATTCGAAAAATACTGTGATGGTGATCCTTTTGAATGGTCGAAGTATTTTAATTTTGTACTTCGTGTACTTTTGGTAGGACCAAATTTTGTTTTCAATTAAATAATGTATTTTTTTTGTTATGCATTGGCAGTACGTTTTGAGGGGTGTGTGTATTTTTAATATTATTCTTATGATGCCGCGACTAATAAATATTATGCAACGAATTATCGTAGAAGTGTGTTGTCATGATTTGATCATTAATTCGCCTACTTATCTTTCACTTAATCAATTAATTTGTGGAATGTGGAAAAAGACACTTGAGTAGTAATCAAAATCTCATAGAGTACTATTATACTCATACCAATTATTTGGCTTGGTCCATATTTTTATTGTTTGATTTGAGTTTGTAACCATACTCATAGAAAATTATATTATTCTACCTGAACTTAATATATTTGAGGAGTCAACAACTTAAATTAATATTTTGTCATAAAAGTCCAAAATAAATGGCCCAAAATAAATTCGGTACCTACGGATTTCTTGATTACATTTGATACCCAATTTTTTTCATTTTACAAATCCGATTAATTTGATGTATCTAAATTAAACCTCTTAAAAATTGGTAAACTGATAATTCTTCAAAATATTGGTTAGCTATGTTCATCGGATTTATATGAATTTGATAATCACCAATTCACCATCGTTCTGTTAACAGAGTCCATGTAATTTACAACATGGGCTATTATAGTTTACAAGATGTAACTCTTATATTGGCATTTAGCTTATTAAACGGTACACAATGCAATTTTAATATAACAATTTAATCATGTAAGATGGTATTACCACGTGTTGGACTTGGACATCCACTAATTATTTGATCTTTACAAACAAAATATAATAAAACGTGCGGCACTTTCTGACAATGAGGAGTATAGAAGGATTTTTTCACAAAACTTTTAGAAGTCGGATCCATGGCATAGGGTTTATCTTTCATTTTCGTAAAACAATTATACTCGATAATTCGGTTAGAATGTCGGAATACACTATGATGTCATTTTTTGAATGATTGAAGTATTTCATTATTTGAATTCTTTTATGCTACCAAAAAATTAGAATGTTAAATATGTTCAGATACCTTTATTTTTAACATACTACCAAAAAAACAAAAATATCACATACAAATTGGTACAACTATTTACGCGAGTGATCTTGTGAATCCGGCCAACCGGCCGGGCACGTGACTAGTTCATGTTGTTATGTTCATTCTTTTTCCATTTTTTCCCCCTCTTCTATTCTAATGTGGTTTGAGAAAGCCTTCTTTCTCATATGAATATCTTGACTATCCATTATTTTTTTTTTATGAATGAGTAGTTGTATTCAATTGAAAAGAGGAGGGTTCACAAGTAGTGGACTAACTCCAAAATACAACCAAAATGGATACAAAGAAGAAAATAGTTATAGGAAGCAAGGCTAGTAAAACTAGTAATTTGTTCAAGGAGGTTGGAATGGAGTTGTTTCCAAAGAACATGGAATGAAGACCACAACTATCTTCAGCGGGGATAAGTTTATAAACCATAGTGAGACTGCAAACTGTTCGACTAATAGTCTTGACGGCAGTGTTAGCATTGTGTGCTTCATCCTGGAAAATTCTGGAGTTTC